GTGTGGCAGATAGCTGATAAGTGCCCTGAGGTATTTTTTATTTGGGGGGCGTGTGTCGGGCTCTGACGTCAATGGATCGGTAAGCCCCAAAGAGATATGATCATCCTGGCAAAAAGGCTTTCAAGGAACACGAAAGGATATCCTTGTGGAATTTGTAACCAAATCAGAATTGTCGTGCAATCCATACAAATTAAACACCTTAATAATTCCTTTTTGTAAAACGATATTTTTGATTTAAAAAATCAAAGAATAAAAGCTCATATACTGGCATATAATTAATCAATTTGTTTATTTTTTTACATTTCGCCCAATTAAAAATAATTTATCAATTTCTTCAATATGTTTACCTAATATATTCACTTTTTGCTGATAAACGAAAAATTTGTATTTTGTTTTACTTTATCAACACATTTAAATGTATTAATTACCTACTTAAAATACTTATTCGCTTTAATAAGTAAATGTTTTGAATAAAAATACATTTTAGTAAAAATATTAAAACATGTATATTAAAGATACAAAATAGAGAAAGAAAAGTCCATGATGAAACTAAACTTAAATATACAAATTTTTTGAAAGCATTTTAAGGGGTTCTTGCTTATATAACATTCTTTAGTTTTAAAAAGATCAATGAAATTTGGGATTGCAAATTGGAGCTGAATATCGGGCGGGGCTGGTCATCCGATTGGAACTGCGTCGTTGTCGGTGAACCCGGAGAACCCTTTAGCACACAGTGTTTTTTGTGTTTTGTGTTTTGAATTAGTGAATCGAATTTAGTTCCCTGCAAACGGATCGCGAGGCGACGCGTGATCGATTCCATTCCAATTGCAATTACCTCGACACAGTTGGGTGCGATTAAAGCGGCTCGGTCCGAGAACCGCGAACTCGGATTTGACGTCACCGCTGGTACGCCCCTGGCCCCCAATGCTCCCTTTTCGAGTGCGTAATTTGCCAATTCGAAGACGTAGTGCAGCAGTGGGATAAAGTGTGCCTTGTTAAAGGCAGAAAATATTTACGAAATATCTGGCCCAAAAAATACCACAAATCACAAGAGGCTTGGAATGACGCGGTCGGCCGTCAAGGTAACGAAAACAAACTCTCGCAGAAAGGCATCAAAACAATAACAATAACAGAATGATTGTAACGCCAGGGCGAAAACAAGTCAACTAAAGCCGGGAAAAGTAAAGGTGACCAACTGGTAGCGGGGGGTTAAGGCGAGCATATTGCGCATACGCCGCTTGGTACGCGGTCAATAACGATACTTACAGCTAACTGCAAAATGATGATACCTGAAAATGAATAACAACTGGTTAGTAAACAATATTGTAAATAGTTATGGAAATAATTATTCGCAGTAAGAATTCGTTATATTAAATTAATATTAATATTAATATTACATTTAATTTACATAAGTTGTTCATGGCGGCATAAAAACTATTTATTTTATATGATATACCTTATTTGATTTTAATATAATATAAAATATGAATTGTAATAAGCCTTTGAGAGAGTGTCCATATTTTTAGAAAAATCAGTTTTTATGAACTTCTTCTAATGTGCAGTGTATTTTACAAAATCTTTTAAAGACCTTGCAACTACTATTAATTTGCGCACATCTGTATGTATCTGCATCTGTGTTTGTATCTGTATCTGTGACTGTGACTGTACGAAAAGTGGGCCCGTTTCAGCGAACGGGCCTCCAAAACACTCACACTCACACTCACACACATGTGCAGAGAGTGAGATACGCGACACACCCCTCCATCTCACAGATACAAAAGCACAAACACACTCGCAGACTTTTAAAGCGTCCTTGATCGTGCACAAAAACAATGTAAGCAGTGGAAGCAGTGCAGGCGGTTCATTGACTTTTGCTCTCGTTTTACAAGCCAGATAATTATAATGTAATGTGCCGATGGGAAGTGATTTGCAAGTAACCCCAACCGAAACCCACTATTTTTCTCTCAGTGATCGATACCTTGACTGGCTTGTTTTTCTCGTGGCTTCGTTACGTGTTTCGCTGGAAATCGTTCATTTTATCAGACTGTTTTTTCCAAATCTGCTGTTGTTGTTGATCAGTTGGCTTTTGCGCTTTAATTTTAATTATAAGTTGATAGTTTTTAATAATTCTTTTGACTATTACGAGGACCTCTATAGCTCGGCCTACGAACTGGCACAAGACAAATTTAAGGCATTGAAAGCATAAGTGGTAAAAACTTAAGCTATAGAAGATATTTAGCTATAATCAAAAAACCATTCTCATTATTATAAAAAATAAAGTATGCAGTACTAAAAATGTATCTTGGAAATTATTAGTTAGGAATTTAATTTAATTATCAATAAAATAAGAAGAATGTGCACCGTATCCTTTTGTAACACACATTTGTGGTAAACTAACCCCTTGATTTTTTGGTAGCAATAAAATTTTAATTAACACAACCAAATAATCGCAAAAATGAAGTTCTTTCGATAAATGGGTTTTCATTTAAAGTGTGGAACTTTGTTTTCAAATATATTGATTATAAAAGTTGGAATAAATATATAAAACAGACATGAGAGCTTAAAAAACAAGTAAAGAACTTCGATTGTATTTCTTTATCTGTAGAACTATGTGAATTTTCACCTTGAGCATACGTGTAATAACAAAAACAGAACCAGGTCCTTGTGGAGATATACAAGGTCGCCCGCAAAAAAATGAGTATCCGGATGACCCAGTGACCACGGAGCAGCGAAAACTGGTCACCGGGTGACCGAGTGAGATGGAGCGACCATCGCCTATCTCGCCTTGGCTCGTCCATTGACATTGAAAGCCACTAATTTATTTGTTTATCAACCAGTTGAGAGCGGCGAGAAGCATCTAGCATTACAATTATTTCAAGAGAGCCATGTAATCTATACATATGTGTGGACTATATCTCTTCCTGCGGATCGTTCCTCTCTTAAGTTACAGCCACATGGCGTGAAAATCCCAAGAAAACTTGAGTGCTCTTATCAGCTGCTGATCGTGATGCAGCTAATTTAGATATTGCATCAGCCAGGATTAGAGAGGGACTTTACTGCGTTTTTATTTTCTGTTACCTTTCTCAAATCTGTTTTGCACAATCTGTTGGGCACACACAACAAATCCAAGTCTTATCAGTTGGGAAACTACGAGCAGGAAAACAGGAAAATAAAAAACCAAATGAAAACGTGCACGTCATGTTTTCCACATTTTCCAGCCCATCGTTTTGCGTGGCAAAAAAGAACAAGAAGTAGGCCAGGTAGCAGGAAATGGAGGAGGAAGTGGCTGATGTTGATATCATGTGTGCGTCAACAAAAATATGAATTTTCCAGGCCAAAATTTATTAAGACGCACCATTCCAACTTTTAGTTTCTTGAATTGAATTTTGATAAGTCGAACTTTTTTTTAAATAATTCGTCTCTATTCCTAAAGATATATTATATTTGCATTTTGTCTATCTTAAAGCCTATATGGACTTCTTCAACTCGTAATTGTGTTTAACCACCATTTAAATTTTTAAAAAATAATTACTACTGTTCTATTTAGTAAATGACAAAATTTATAAATCCCCCGCCAGAAGCTTGGTAAATGTAATACATATATAGTTTAATTTTTATGTATATATTCAATACCATTGTATCCAATGATATTCCTTGATAAAATAACTACAATTCTTTAGATACAAGCCTAAGTTTAAAGACACGTGTACTTAAAGATATAGATATATAGATAATAGTAGCTATTTCATTGTTTACTCACTTTTAATGAAAAAGTACACACAAGCGGGGCAAACAAAGAACTAGAACCAGAAGAGAGGCCATCGAAAAATCCAAGACTCGACTCTAAGCAAATATGTCATGAAAGCAAAAACATTTCAACAGAAAATAATTGCTTAAAATTGTCGAGGCAAAATCGAAAACGAGCAAAAAAATAAAAGGCAGCTAAAAAACGTGAAACAAAAACACGCCGCCGGCCGAAAATCGACGATCGCTGCGCCCAAATAAGTACGCAGCCCATGGGGGTACACCCCCCAACATCTCCGCCCCCAAAGCCCCTCTTTTTTCGGGGGCAGCAACAAGACGTACTGCCGATTGATCGGTCGTAAAAAACCCGAAAACCAAGAGATTCGGTTGGGGAGCGAACGAAAAAACATTCGATTTTCGGCACCTTATGTTTTTGCTGCACTGATAAAAAATAACTTTATTAAAATGGAAACTGCTATAATGGGAACTACTTATAATGGTTAAAAAAAAAGCATTTCTTTACATCAATTAATTGTAGTCATTATAAAAATGGTTATTTCCAATTAATTTGCTGATAACCATTTCACAACGTGCCGGTCAATAATCTATTTGTTTTTTGGAAGACAAATAGGGCATTTTGTATAACTTGTACATTCAATTTCACTCTAATGTAATTTAACACTTGAATTTCAAAGCAAAAATAGTGATTTTTATTGTCGTATTTTATTTAACGACGTTGTTATGAGCAACTACGTTAATATAATTTATTAGGTTCTAATCAAAAACAATGATTTCTGTATATTTGTTGAATAGTCAACTAATTAATTAATATATTAAGTGAAGACATGGCTTTCACATATGTGTACTTGTATATTTCAGGTAATTAAGCAAGCGATGAGGCTACTTCTAAAACGTCAGCTTTCCATTTCCGCCAGTCATCCGCCCGCATATTATATTTTAGCAATATAAAATATATAGTTAATCAAAAATAAATAAGAGACCTCTTTATCTGCTTGGCGATCTTTTTCATTTTAAATACGTATATTATTATTTAAGTATATAAGTCAATAAAATATAATTTTAAATACATAACTCTTATCGCAGTGTAGCCCCTCTCTTCCGCTCTCTTAGCGGTCTTTCCTGCGCAATGCTCTTAAAATGGCGTTCGTACTGTAATCGTACGACTCGGCACACACACACTCACCCCGTGGATCGGCTATATATATTACTATATCAGCGGCGGCATCTCATTTCTTGCAGAGACTTCGTGCCGTCAAGATCGAGCTGAAAGGCCTATAAAAAAGAAAGTATATCGAAAACCGCAATAAAAGGCAACTGTGTGCTTAACAATTTTTTTACTGTGCAAAGTGCAGTTCCTTCCTTGTAAAACTAAAAACCAAGAAATACAAATTCATATCGGTTCGCGCAAGTGCGGCAAAGTGCAAGTGCAAGAGACGCTGAAAGAGCGATTGAAAGCATCGAAGAGAGTCTAAATACCACACAAAAAAAAACGAGAAAGAAAGTTCCACCGCTAAAACCAACAAGATGACGACCAAAATGGCAATTAACGCTAAGGTTTGTAATCAAAAATCAAGAAAAAAGTCTACAATCATTATTGGTAACGCCGCCAAGAAATCAAAATTTTAACAAGCTATGTTTTGGGTGCCCTCTTATTAATATATGCAAATTATGACGCTCGTTTGATTTGTTTATTAATCCGACAAATTTAAAAAGTGATCATACTTAAGAAAAGCTAAAATTAAAATCCACACTCTATACTTCAGATATCAATGTTTTCCTCTACTTTAGCTTAAAATGAGTATCAAAACTTACTTAAAACCTTAAAACGGTTAAATATTATTTTAGTATTTTTCTTAAAACTTAATTAATGTTTGTGAATATTGATTCAGAAGTTTGTTACGGTTTTATTTAAAACTAAAAATGATTTTTATTTTCATATTTTTGCTGATAAGAATCATAATGAAGTTTTAACAAAAAACATTATATTTCTGACATCGGATCTTTTGGTTTTGAGAGGCGGCTGCCTTATCTATAAATAGGAATTAAATAAAACCATAATAAAATGCTGTGAACTCGAAAAGTTTCCGGTGAATACTGTTAATGGACTATCTCCAGACTCTGTTTTATAGACAGACTATTTCTGAACAACCTGACAAGCTCCCAGCTCTCCAGACCACTTATAAATAGAACCCATTAATGTTTTATTTTGGACATTTATGGCCCGTTGTTATCGCTTCCCATTCCCAAATGTCGCGATAAGCAATATTGTGGACAGGCAGACTTATAGACGACATATTCAAGTCTTTTGTGCCGCCCAATTTCGAACGAGTTTTCGAGCGTGCTTTTCTGCTAGTTTTTGAAGTATTTCAGCTCAGCTTTTTTGGCTGATGCAATGCCGACCATTGATGTCAACTTGGCGTTTTTCTTTTGGCTGTCAGGTTTTTGGCTTAGTCGATAGTTTGGTCGATTTCATCAGCCATCCGCCATCCGCCAAGGAGAGATGAGCGGCATCAGCTCAAGCAAAATAAAGTAAAACAGACTATTGTAGATTAGCTCTTCTGTCCAATCCGAGCCGGAATCGAATCTAAACTGCTGACTCGCGTCTGACCCGGAATGTAGACTATACCTGTGCCGGGGTTACATCAGTCCAAGCCCCGTAAACAAGATCGCCTGCCTTCCAAATTGAAAATTAATTAATGTGCAAATCATTTTCGGCAGCTTGGCAATTTCGGCTCGGGTCTAGACCCAAATTAGCATAGTTTCAGTGTCGGGCAATGTAGATATTCAAATTCGGTACATTTTGGGTACATTTACTTCACACAAAAAGATAATAATAATAAATTACAATTTTAAATTATGTTATTTTTTTTGTTTAATTTAACCAATTGGCAATGAAAATATAATTTCCTATTTCACTTTTAATTATATATTTTAGAAGTTTGTTGAAACATTAAAAACAATTATTATTTAATTTATAAAAAAGCTACTTGTGACTTAAGAGAAATTTACTTGAAATCTTACTTTAAATTTGTATTTTTGTTATATTTTAGTTTTGAGTTTGATACTACATTTTCTCAATGCCAAATAATTCTGTTGTGAAGAATTTATAAGCTTTATGAGTTCGGTTATCTTTTTGTTTTAAAACTCATCTCAAAATCATATACGTGGTTTCTTTCATTTATTAATTGTGTCTTAAAAAAAAAATTATTGAAATTATGAACTATGAACTTATGAACTATTTGATTGTTTTGCAGGATATTTTCCGAAACCAGCACCGTCTGATCCGCTTCATTGCCCAGTCGATCCGGCTGTGCAGCAACCAGTCGCTGAAGGCCGCCCAAGCGGCGCAGCAGCTGCAGCAACAGAAGTCGACGGCGGACTTCCAGATCACCGCCTCGGTGGACGCCCAACACACCAGTGCCCCGGAGCCCGTGAAGCACGACAAGGATCTGGGCCACCAGTTCCGTGCCTCCCAGCTTTCCGTGCGCTTGGCCGCTCCGGAGCAACTGCAGCCCAAGCCGGACAACGATGAGGAGTTGGGCTTCGGGCGCCTGTTCACCGACCACATGCTCAAGATCTACTACCACAAGAGCCTGGGCGGATGGCAGCGACCGGAGATCACGCCGATGGAGAACCTGGTCATGCATCCGGCCGCCAAGGTGCTGCACTACGCCGTTGAGGTAAGCGGAGTCAACTGAAACCAAAGTCCCTTTACTCAATACTAAACTAAATATGGGGATTAAATTCTTTTTGAAAATGTAACATATCTATGATGGGCAATTCTTTTTAATTCCCCTATTTTGAAAACCCCGTTAGGCGCCAGTTCAACTTAAGATTATAATAAGAGAGCTTAACTCATAAATTTGTTCTTAGATTGTGAACTTTAAATTTTTGAATAGTATTCATTTTGAAATTTCCTTAAAAACACCTTTTAAACCCTTTTTTAAATTCCTCGGTGTTTCTGTGAATAAACTAGAAGAATCGATTTCGCGAACTTTTACGTGACTTGAGAGCATCTTGTTGTCGTGCTTCCATACCTCTTACTCCATCCCGTGATTCCCAGACCGTAATCTGTGTAAACAAGTCGCACGTGTGGCCCGATGTGGCTAACGTCATCCGAGTGCATTTAGTACATAATCAGAACGTGAATCAAGATCCCACTGTTGTCAATGGTGCGATGTTCTCTTATCAATCCTATGTCGTTCCATCTATTGCAGCTCTTTGAGGGCATGAAGGCGTACCGCGGCGTCGACGGCAAGATCCGTATCTTCCGGCCGGACATGAACATGAACCGCATGAACCTCGCCGCCCAGCGCTCCGGCCTGCCCACCTTCGAGGGCAAGGAGTTCGTCCAGTGTCTGTCCCGCCTGCTGACCATCGACTCCGAGTGGGTTCCCCACACGGACACCGCTAGCTTGTACATCCGCCCCACACTCATCGGCATTGATGTGAGTATGGTGAAATTTGGGAGTATCTCTGGGCCACTTGACTAATCTCCGGATGTTTCGACTTACAGCCCACGTTGGGAGTGGCTTCTTCGGACTCTGCCTTGCTCTACGCGATCCTCAGTCCGGTGGGCAGCTACTTCAAGACGGGCTCCTCCGGCGCCGTTTCACTCTTGGCCGATCCCAGCTACGTTCGTGCCTGGCCAGGTGGTGTGGGCAACCGGAAGATGGGCTCCAACTACGCACCCACTATCAATGTGCAGAAGGAGGCGGCGGCTAGGGGACTGCAGCAGGTGTTGTGGCTGTACGGCGAGGATCACCAGCTTACCGAAGTGGGCACCATGAACATCTTCATGTTCTACGTAAACGATCAAGGAGGTAGGTTTATTTTACTTTATCGTTTTTACAGTCAATTTCTATATTCATTTCATTTGATATGTTAAATTTTTAAATGGTCTGTTTTGATAATTTTAATATATCTTTAAATAATAAATAGATAGATTCATTGGAAGTATCTAATAACATGTCATTGTGGATGTACAAACTGTGGTTTTAAAGTAAAAGAAATGGTTATTTGCGTTACATAAGGTTGTGCTGGCCATATACATAAGAATTTGGAAAAAATTTGATTGTTTTTTGTTTCCAAATCTACCATTACTTTTTTCCCTTATCATAGATTTGACTTAACCAATTTGTTTTCCCATTCCATTTGCAGAACAAGAACTGGTTACCCCGCCGCTGAGTGGCCTGATTCTGCCTGGAATCACCCGCGACTCCATCCTGCGCATGACCCGCCAGTGGGGCAAGTTCAAGGTTACCGAGGCGAACATCACCATGCCCATGGTCTGCGAGCTCCTCAACCAGGGAAGGGTAAGTAATCCTGGATACACAATCCTTCTCCGAGCCACATAACTCATTCGAATTTATATCCCTTTAAACAGCTACTGGAACTCTTTGGAGCGGGAACGGCGTGCGTGGTCAGTCCGGTGAACCGCATCAACTACCTTGGCCAGGATCTGTATATTCCCACCATGGAGCAGGAGAAGCCCGTACACGAGCTGATCCGCGAAACGCTCACCGACATCCAGTACGGCCGGGTGGATCACCCGTGGTCGATAGTGATTGACTAAGCGATCCCATTTAGAAACCACATCCACATCCACACCCACCCACATCTGTTATCCTTTCCCCATCCCTTCCCCGTACCGTGTATTAGTAGGATTTAGTTGCCAAGTGTTTTGTGGGTTGCCTATGTGCTCGAATTTGTTTCGTTTGTTGTGCATTTATCTATACATGCATATACCGATATATATAATATATATTAGGATAAGTCGAGGGCCGATTCATTTAAGTTGCATTTAAATGTATATTTATTTATTTATGTCAGGAATTCGAATTGTACATAATTCCAACTGGTTCAATGTTATTTATAGTTCTTTACATTTTTACATATTTTTAGTTTTGTTTTTTTTTTTATGCAAAAATCTGTTTTCTAAAGCTATAAATCGTCTTTTTGCGCTTTTACTTCCAAGCAGCATCGAAAGCAAAGCAAAATTACCAACTACAAATTTTAGATTAGGAAAAAGACCAGAAGAAAAATTCCCAAAAGGACTGTGGAATATGAGTTGAAAACGTACCGGAGGCGAAATGCATTTATTAGTGAGTAAGTGATCGAAGCGTTCTTGGAGGTAAAAGCGGCACGAGAGGCACGAGGGCAGCAGACAGCCAGCTGCGCCGAGCTGTGACTAAAGCTAATCTATACCTGAACCCGTCAGTAGAACTTAGGCCTAGGCTGTAGATCCTAACCCGAATCAAGCTGTATACTATACCTGTAACCTAGAAGTTAAGCGAATCATGCGATGAATAAACGATGACAAAAACAACTTCAATGGTGACTATTGGGATTAAGTAAAGGATTGCTAAAATTGTTGTTTTTTATGTTTTCTCTTGGTGTTTTCCTCGATTTATAATTTACAAAATGTGTTCCACAAAAGAGATTTGCGAAGTCTTTATTAGATATTCCTATACGTGGAATAGTATTTAGCTGATTGCAATATGCGGCAGTCATGGCCTCAACGATCCACTTACAAATAATAGGAGTTTCGTCAAGCTAATGCATTTGCAAATTTTCAAAAAAAAATAGCTTTGGAGAAAAATGTTCAAAAAGTGCATTTATAAACCAATAACTATAAAGTTTAAGTCTTGGTTTGGCTTAGATCGATGTTTTGCAAAAAAAATCGTAAAATTACTACATACCTCGTAAGGATTTTAATGCAGGACATCTTAGAGTCCAGTTTGCGGTCCATTTTAAATTGCAACAACTTAGTGATGAAAATAAACACGTATTTTTCCGATTTATTTTGCATTGGCAGCTTCGGCTTACCTACTTATTCACTTAAAAAATTCAGATAAGTTCTCTTTATTTAATTTCACAAATTGCTTAAAAACTATGTTGCAATAGAATTTTTCTGTTCTTCAGCCTTAACCATAATCTTCCTTTTAAGGTGTAATTTTTAATTATGGTACATACAGCGTTAAATCCTAGATGCACTGCATCCAGTCAAAGTAAGATGGTGTCTCGCTGTGAGTCTCTGCAACCGCTGCTCAATCACACTCTCACACACACATATAATCTGGAATTACAATTTAGATAATTTATTAATTGAATTAACTTATAATAATGGAGTATATACCTTGAGAGGTCCTTCATCCTACATCCTGGTGTACAATCCAAGTCAGATGGTATAACCATTAAGCATCTGTACACGCTCAAGAACACACATTCAAGTCAGATGGTATAATCTGGACCCACTCAGGAAACACACACCCAACTTTCGGGCATCCGAGAAAACTGATATATGGGCCGCCACAACCGCATGGTCGTAATTTTTTGGCTAGAACTAGTTGGGAATTATAAATGCCGAAGCGAGTAAAAATGAACAAAGACGATGACGAGGCTACAATTGGCCACGTCATAGTCTTCGTTGTATTACATTGTATTAACATTATCATTACATTAACATTACATTAACATTACATTAACATTACATTAACATTACATTAACATTACATTAACATTACATTAACATTACATTAACATTACATTAACATTACATTAACATTACATTAACATTACATTAACATTACATTAACATTACATTAACATTACATTAACATTACATTAACATTACATTAACATTACATTAACATTACATTAACATTACATTAACATTACATTAACATTACATTAACATTACATTAACATTACATTAACATTACATTAACATTACATTAACATTACATTAACATTACATTAACATTACATTAACATTACATTAACATTACATTAACATTACATTAACATTACATTAACATTACATTAACATTACATTAACATTACATTAACATTACATTAACATTACATTAACATTACATTAACATTACATTAACATTACATTAACATTACATTAACATTACATTAACATTACATTAACATTACATTAACATTACATTAACATTACATTAACATTACATTAACATTACATTAACATTACATTAACATTACATTAACATTACATTAACATTACATTAACATTACATTAACATTACATTAACATTGCATTAACATTACATTAACATTATATTAACATTATATTAACATTACACTAACATTACATTAACATTATATTAACATTATATTAACATTACATTAACATTACAAGGAAAATAAATAATAAATTAAATTATAAAATTATAAGTCATCGTGTACAGAATTTAGGGTTTTAAATTTATAAAAAAACCATAGGTACCATCGAAAAATGAATCGGAAAATCGACTTCGAAATCTACAATATTTCATTTTTGTAACATCTGCAAGCGCATATCAGTTTGCTTCCTTTCTTATTAATCATCAGTTTAACATAGGCTAGCAAGAATATTATAGTCGTTATTTCTCCAAAAGCCCCAAACAATCCTTTTCATCTGGGTTTTTATAATATTTTTCATTGGTAGAAATTCAATTTATATTATTTTAATTACCCATTTTAAGACATTATATCCTAAATTTAAGTGTCATTTTTCCACGATTAAGTTAATAAAAGTTGATATGCCCAACCAATGGAGGTAAAACTTTGAATATAACGAATTTTCGTTTAAGATTAATTGTGAGTTTCGGAAGGGTCAAAAGACTAAATTTTATTTTATTTATGAAGAACATTATTATTATAAATATAATGTGTGATAATTGTAGATCGTCAAATGGCATAAAAATATGTTCTTCTTTCAAGAAGTGCCATGGAATTACTGGAGGATATATATTTTATTATTATGGGAGTTGAGTCCCTGCTAGAGTTTAGCTAAGTTCCCAATCATGGATTGCGTCTCTGATGCAAAATCGATGCCTTTTGCAAATCAAAAGTATCGTTTGAGGAATCGGTTTCAGTCGTTAAAACAAAAATACAGCGTACGGTCACACTTCTAAAACCAAAACTGCAATCAGTTGCTTTTGTCGTTCCCGTTCAAAAATAAAGAAAACGGTAGATCGCCGCGAAAATCATCACGAAATGGTGTTTCGTTTACTGTAAAAATACAAATATCACTACATTCGCATATTTAATTCGGACAACCCTACATTCATTAAGAAAGCGAACATAGCGGTTTATTCGGTTATTGTTGTTGCAGAGCGCGTAAAAATTCAAAGCGATTCTCCAAAAATTCGCGCTTATGTGTATTGCTGTTTTTTTTGAGTGTCTTTTTCGAGAAAACAAATATTTGTTTTAATCGTGGCGCTATGCTATAATATCGGTGTGCCAAATGAGCTTTAAATTAAAAGGTAAAAACCAGCGATTTTCCTTCTGCGTTAAAGGAATTTCCCATCGTGTGTGTATGAGTGTGCATGGGTGATAGTAAATGTAAGCGCACTTCAAGCCACTGTTTTTTGTTGTTGCTCGATGGTGGAAAAGTGTCGCAGTATGTGTGTGTGCATGAAATGCCGGTAGAACCGGTTTTGCAAGTGGCCAAAGCAAAAACAAAAAGAAAATAAAAACGATCAGATACTTCGTTCTCACGTCGATCGGTATTACGATCACGAATTTTGTCACCTAATTGCGACTAATGATGTTTTAACAGCGCATTTGCGTACATTGATTATTTGGTGCTATTTATGATATTGACATAATTAGTTTCACGGGTATTTCAATTAATTAATTATTTTATTGGGCTGTCCATTTCCAACAGACAAATAACAACGAAAATTTACTTTATTACATTTTTTAAGGATTTTATTAAAATTGTATTGTATTTTGTTTTGCTTTACACATTTTTTGATACAAATTCGATTTTCTTTTCTTGTAAACGCATAAACAGCAATCATTCTGTGACGCTCTCTCTTTTTCTCCCTTCTCTTTCCCCCTGAACGCGCTTGTGTTCGTGTGTGTGTGTTGCGCCTGCGTGTCAATTCTTTTATTTTTGTTTCTAAAATTCCCGCAATTAATGCCTAAGAATGTCGACGTCGGAAGAAGTGCAGCACGTCCCGAAAACAACAACAAATCATAACTTAGAGATAATTTGTCCGTGACATTGAAAATGTCGTAAATAACCTTGATCTTGGACAGAAATCTATAGATTTTAGCGACTGATTGGGGATTATTCAGTTTTTGTAATAGACAATCGACGTTGTCGCAAAAATACGTAAAACCAAACTTTTTAAATATGCAATGTTTCTAATACTAGTTAAGATACAAAAAAGTAAATGTTGGTAGACATTATTAAATCTCTTGGTGATAAAAATAATGATTAATATAATGATTGAAAATAGCTATTCAACTTTGTATGTATAATAAAGTAAGATTTTAATTTATTTTAATGAATCTCACTGCAAACACTAAAGATAAAATAAAAAAAAAAATTCAAAATGTATCAAAATATTAAAGTTTAGTTTGTACTCTCAATGAATTTTACTTTATAGAAAGCTAATTACGTGGATAATTATATTTCAAGTGCTTCCTGTTAACATTTCCCTTGCCAAAGTTCCAGATTTTTTCTGGTACTTATCGTTTTTCTTCCTTTGCTTCCGTTTTGTAATTTTTTTTGTTTTTGATTACGGTTATGCCTTACATTTTGAGCATGTGCAAGTGGGCCCGGTGTTTTTATTTTTATTCGCTGTATGCCCCATTGTAATCCTCACGCACGAAACAAAATTTGACCTGCTAAATCCCCAATAATCCCCCGTATTTTTAGCCTTCGCCTCCGCCCGCATTCGGCACTTTTCCATTGTCAGCATCGCTCGTTACGCACTTTTTTGTTCAAAAAATAAAACACTCGAAAAGCTAACCTTAACCGCGCCTTTTTCCGTTAAACGTTTTACGGTTTCAACTTTGCGCTCGAGTGGGTTTTGCATACGGGGCTAGGATCAGAAAGAGATAGCTTAACTAAATGACTTACAGACGTGGTTAATAAAACATGATATGTTGCAGATTTTTTGGCTTAAATTAATTTTAAAGTAGTTGAATTCCAAAAAAATTACTTTATTGGCTACTACTTCAAAAATCAAAAGAAAACAAAATAATTTGGAACATTTAATCGGTTATAAAAAATTCTACATTGACGATTTTATTACCTTACATTAAAATAAATCATTAACAAAAACTATACAAAAAATGCAACTTAAACTATTACACATTTTGTTTGCACTAGATTGTGGAAAAAAGCTGTAAAATGTTCTCTGCTGGCTCAATTAATTACGTTTTCATGTTTGGAGTGTTTGCTCGTTCGAAAGCGAAGTTGCATAAGCAAACATTTTCATTTTCCCCTCGATTTGCAGTTCTCAATTTGTCGACTTTTTAGTGGCTTCGACTAGTTGACAACGAATTGTTGACACATTTAAC